ATAATGCAGTGGTTGCATGTACAGCAATCAACAATACAAAGGCTGTATGTCACTGCAATCAATTATAATGCAGTGGTTGCATGTACAGCAATCAACAATACAAAGGCTGTATGTCACTGCAATCAATTATAATACAGTGGTTGCATGTTACTGCAATCAATAATACAAAGGCTGTATGTCACTGCAATCAATTATAATACAGTGGTTGCATGTTACTGCAATCAATAATACAAAGGTTGTATATCACTGCAAACAATTATAATACAGTGGTTGCATGTTACTGCTAAAATAACACAACAAACCACTGCTAGTCACATCAATATGATGTTGAAATAGAGAAGGAGATGAATGTCAACAGGTAAACTAAGCAGGTTAAGAATACAATGAAAGAGCATAAGTGGTTAATGAGGTAATATTGAAGGTACATTGGATGAACAGATATAGAACCAATCTTGTTTCTGAAACATAATCAACAAGCCGAGGTACCCATCCTTTGTCCGGGTTATGAACTTAAAAAATTGTGGGGGTGGATGCTATGATAAATAACACAAAAATTCTAACTTTCACACAATTTATCTATAACATTATTACAGTATTCATCATTAGTTTTTGATTTTATTTGGTGTAAGGACTTGGCACCTTCTATGAATGTAGTTAATGTTAACTTAAGTCAAAGATAATAAATGCTCAGCAACAATAATAATATTGTTTAATAATAATTAAACAAACTTAGCTGGAGTAGTCACTTCTGTGTTACACGTCAGAGTTCAATGAAGTAGTTTCTGGTATCGTTTGTAGAACTTCTTTTATTATTATTAAGCACAGAGTTACACAATGGGCTATTTGTGCTGTGCCCACCACTGGTATCAAAACCCAGTTTCTAGCATTGTGATCTGCATTGAATTTTTTATTGAAAAATTGGCAAACATTTATTGTCTAATCTAAAATAAGCTAACCTCACACTATGAAAGAAGATTATTCCATGAATACATCAGTATTAAGCTATTCTAGACTTTCAACTCTAGTTGGAAACAGGACAGCTTTTACATAATTTTTTAAGGATAAAAAATATATACAACAAATGTGATATAAAAATTATCACAAATTATTTTTCAACAGTACTCTATTCAATTTAAATCATTGCACTGATCACCACCTACTTTTCTTACACATTTCTTCAAAAATGAACTTTCAAAAGTAAGACAAATGATTTATTCAAAATCACAATAACCAGGGATGAAGTTCATATTTTTTTCTCTCTCTCTTAATGTCTTATATGCTTAACCAATCCTAGATGGCATTTAATAAAACAATATCTAACTGCAACTTAAAGTAGTCAATAATTTCACTGGACCTCTATTTAGCCTTCTTAAAAAAATTATCCAATGGCGAGTCTAAGTTAATAAAACTAATAATTACAATAATCATACAAAATTGGCACTGCCTTTTAATATACAACATATATTTTCAGCAAGTTAAAAACATTCATTTTATAATGAATATATTGGAATGGACCGCAACTGCCTGTTGTAAAATCACAAGTTTTACAAGACAACATTTTGAAAGTCTTCTGGAAGAATTTCAAAATGTCATCCTCTACTTATGTGATTTTACAACAGTCATTTACTATCCATTCCAGTTTACTCATCATTAATACTCTGCCTAAGCAATCTATCAAAGAACATTCATTTTATAATTGTTTAATGAGCAAGTACCATGGCTGCAGCCCTTTCGTAACATAGAAAAATTAGTATATCTTTAACCGGAGAGAACTTAACATTTTTTATTTGGACATTGTATGTGAACTGGATGTGTATGAATGGTGCATAATCATATCCTTATATGGCCGCTTATGGTCAGAGCTTTTTCTGGTGCTAATACCTAGAAAAGTCATCAATTTCTTTTTTCAAGACATCTGGTATATTGGACATATGTAAGGGAAGATACACAGGTGTATTGGATTTATTCTTATATATTTGTTTTAATATCAACGTTTGTTTAGATTAAATTTATATTTAGAAATATGCATAGCTTATAGTGTTAAATATGTATTGCGAAACTCCCGCCTATTTGCTAAAGTTGTAGAAGATTCTCGAGTGTAAGAATCAACAATATATGTATGTACATAAATGCTTAATGTAGCTTTATATTGTTACATAATCTGAATTTTCTAGAACCTCTCCACACGCCTATAAATATAACCAACGAGACACGCCAAAAAAAGAGTATCTATTATTAGTTTGGTATAGACAGTGTGCTATAAACTTTGGAAGCTATAACTGTGATTATTATAACGTTTATTAATTGGAAAACTTAAGATATTTGACCAGGAGCATTTACAGAGTTCTAAAATTTACAAATCTTTAACTTCAGTGGATTCTCATCGGACATCAGTACTTTCACGAAAACATTTCATAACTTCATCGTGGAAAACTAGGCGTGTGTGGCTGGTGAATAACGAATTGTACCTACATCAACTCATAATTAACTCGCTCATCGTGAATCCTCGATAAGATATTGTTACGTCTCTGGTCGTTTGTTAATTTTCCGTAGAAATTCTTTCCGAGAAACTTCAGCGATAAAAAGTCCTTTCTTAAATAAAACTAGTTTATTCTTTCTCAATTCAACTTTGCAATACACTTAATTTCCACAGTCACTTTAACTTAAACACATGCTATAATTCACCACGATTCACACACTTTACTGCCTCGCTAGACTCAATTGTCCGTCTTGGTCTCTGCAATTCTAATTCCTCATTAATTTCGCTTTATCTGGTGCACTTATATACAAAAATAGAGGGTGCCTAGCAAATACTGGATTATTCGTGATGTTCCCCGATCCTTCTAGAATATCATGCCGTGTTACTAACGTCACGTGACTTCCGCTGTCGTAACAATATCAAGGAAGTTCCAGACTAGAAAAAAGACTTTATATTGCTTGAGAGTTTGTAAAACTTTTGTATATAAATCATTTTGTGTAATAACTGTTATTGTAAATTGTATTGTTGTTTGTATATTAAAACATATTTATGTTAAGAAAAAAAACTGTGTGCCAATCTTGTTGGCAAATATCATAAATTGGGGATATATCGGCATATATTTAAAAATTAAATCCAAAGTACAATTTAACTACTAAATTTAAATTATCACTTAACTCAGTTTCAGACCTTTCGAAATTGTAATACGTAACAAAGGAAACTATTTTTCCTCTTTTTGATAATAAGGCTAGTCTCCTGATGTGTCATTCTCGGAATCACTGGCAGAAACACATCTTATAATTCATCTACAGCAGTATCTGTTTTGTCTAAAACTGTCCAGATGAGTTCAGTTGCTGTCACAAAAGTATTGAAAAGCCAGCCATTTGTAGAAAAACTTGAAACGTTTCCAACTGATGTTTATATTTTTAAAATATTATCTTTATATATTTCAAAGTGAAAATATTTGTGTCAAGTCTCTTGTTCTCTTTCATCGAATTTCAGTTACTTGAACTCTGAACCTCATATTACTGTTATAGTACTCAAGTTACTTATCTGTTGGTCAAATGTACCTTAGAATACCACACTAGTTCCAAATATCTGTTGTTGAAGTTTACATTTCTCATCATCTTACTCTGATAAACTTCTTAGATGAAGATTTAAGATAATTAAAATGGCATACTTTATGAAAGATTGTTTGTTTTTAATTTCACGCAAAGCTACACCAGGGCTATCTGCGCTAGCTGTCCCTAATTTAGCAGTGTAAGACTAAAGGGAGGGCAGCTAGTCATCACCACCCACCGCCAACTCTTGGGCTACTCTTTTACCAACGAATAGTGGGATTGACCGTCACATTATACTGCCCCCACGGCTGAAAGGGCAAGCATGTTTGGTGTGACAGGGATTCAAACCCGCGACCCTTAGATTGCGAGTCGAGTGCCCTAACCACCTGGCCATGCTGGGCCTATTTATGAAAGATTACAATTATTTATTACAAATGGCAGCATTCTCCATCTCACCTTTCTTGAACTTCTTAACTGGCAGCTGTTTCAGATGCTTTGATGACAACCTATTTCTTTGATTTTTTCTGCGATCTTTAATACACTTGATCACCTGAAATATAGCTTGCCTTAAAAAATAATTTATCTTAAAAGTAACAATATATGTTCTTAATTTACTGAATGAAAATTAAAATAATTTCTAAATTAAACACTAATAATATTGTTAGTTCAAGGTTATCAGCTTTGACTTCATGATTCAATATTTAACAACCTAGGGATAAACTGTACATGTTTAAAAAGTGAATGCTGAAATGCATTATCTGGAAACAAATTGTGCAAGCCCACATTATTGGTGTTCTACTTTTATATACAAGTATACAGACATATTATAACAAAGTTGCAATATGTACAATGTGTTTTCTTATTGGAATTTTGATTAGGACAATAACACTAAAAGTGATATTACTAAAGAAAATAAAACTACATTAAATTAAAAATGAAGTAATAATTTGAAATGACATTATATTAAATTAATAATATGAGAAATCAACTAAGAATCATATACAGTATAAAGAAGAAAACCAATGTCCTATCTTTTTCAGATAATTACCGATTCTGAACATCATGAATATTCTTTTGTCCTTATGTGTAAATCAAGTGAGCACTAAACAGCACTGCACTAGAGTTAAATATGGGGATGGGTGTTTCCAAGAAAAAAAAGTAATGAGAGGGAGGTTGTAATACTGAGAACACAAATATTAGAATAGCAAAGAAAAAAACAAACAAATTAATGTAAGTTCAAAGTGTGATTTTAATAGCATATCAATTGTTATTTACATGGCTAGATTTATTAGAAGTAAATGATAAATCTACAACTGGATCAGTTTTTTAAGTTTGTTGGGCCTGCTGTCCAGGATGTTCTATCAACATAGAATTCAGTGCCAGAAGTAGGCCTACCAGAAGTCGAGGGCAATGCCATAAAAAGTGCTGGGGCTAAATGGAAATATGATGAATCATAGCTTCAGTTGAGGTACAGTATATTGGTCCAGAAGTTAACTCAATGACATATCTGGCATTATGCTCGTATGGTTAGTGTGCATGGTGTTGAGACATGTAGCATTATACTTGTATGGTTAGTGTATGTAATGTTAAGGCATGTAATATTACACTTGTATGGTTAGTGTATGTAATGTTAAGGCATGTATCATTATGCTTGTATGGTTAGTGTAAGTGTTGTTGAGACATGTAGCGTTATACTTGTGTAGTTAATGTGTGTGTGGTGCTGCACACATCTATGGACATAACATGTAACACTGTTCCCGAGTGTTGAATCATATTCACAAATCAAAATCACAAAGTGTATAAATGTCAGGAAAATAAGAAATGTAGCTTGGAATTTTCAGATGTATATGTTTAATAAAGATCACCATAATTAGTTTGGATCATACTGAGATAGAATCAGTTTTGTGTGTTTTATTAATGCTAGTGAAAGATGTTTTCAGTTTGATCACAAACTAGAGTATTTGTGACTTTTTTTTTTTTTCACTGAGAGAAAGACAGTTCTGCTAGGCAGTCTACATCACAAGAAATGAGAAAGATAATGGATCCATCATTTTCATGGGAGTAAATGAGAGAATATCTTGTAGTTGAGGCAGTTGAAATACTTGTCTTTTATGAAGTGGAATGCCAATTACGTGTTTCAAATATAAGGGAACAGTGGATCTACTGATTTCAAGTAGTTATTATTTAAAAACATGTTTGACTCGCATGATTTAGTATTTTGTAATTTTAAGGATAGTATTGAATGTTTTGCCTCAATATTATTTCTGAATAAGTTTGTCTTTATAAATAAATTTCTTGTTAACCACATTTTCAAGTAATGTTATGACATAGATTTATGTTGGCTGCACTGAACTAAACTCTTGAATTTATTAATGAAACCAGACACAGTTCTGCTTATCTAGATTATATCTCATAATGGCTGGAGACGGCTTAAATGGGTAATGAAGAAAAACTTTAATATAAGTTTAACATGACAGCAAATGTACAACGTTTCGACAAGGTTTTGTCATCATCAGGTGGCATGCCTCCTCCCATCTGAGATCACCAGATCACAATTCTCCCTATATCATGACTCCCACCAATATTAGTGTTACTTTTTTTTTTGGATGGGTGAGGCAGTCATACTATTTAACTTAAAATGAAAGAAATACCTCTAATTACATGAAGAACCTAGGAGGGTGGGTTCAATGGTAGTTTAAAACAGCATCAAACTGCCACAGTGCTGTGCAAAAGAGAGCATGGGATGATTTCAGCTTTTTGTCATATTAAAAAATAAATAAATACACATCTTGAAGGTAAAACTCTGATTTCATTTTGATTTAATAACGCTTGACCCCCCCATAGTATTGCAGGGTTAATGACTTAAAACACATCTATCTAAAAAGATTTATTACTGCAATCTTGTGTGACTCATTTTTGTCAATGTTAAAGGGTTTCTTTTTGTTCATCTTATATTTTATTACACAGTAGTTTTTGTAATACCGTATTTTGTATTTTTATTGCACTTTATTTTTCTCAAATATTTAAGGGTTCTTTCTTATTTATTCATTTTTGTCATGCTATGTCAAAGGGTGTTATGTATTATGAATTTTATATATATTTTTCTGACATATTTGATGCTGTAAATTGTAATTTTGATCACTGCTAAATGGTACTTTAAGTATTATGTTTGTATTTAATTATATTTGTTAAAGAACATTTTGACAATTTTTTTTACTGTACTTTGCACATACTGTATTTTTATATTGTACTTGGTATTTACAATGTTATGGAATTTATTAGACTTAATAGGTATGACTATTTGTACTGAACTTTGCCAGTTGAGATGGTATAAGGATTTATTTTGGATATGTAATGTTTAATCATTCTAAAAAGGGTTTATTTTTTCATCCTCATCGACATTTAAAAAATGATTTATAAATATGTGTGTGTGTGTGTCTGTATATTATTATTATTATGTTCTTTTCAGACATCTATACACTGAGCATATATACATAAATATATGTCTAATTTATATTAACTGGTATTTTAGATTGAATTTCAGTATTAAAGGGCTTATATTTTATCATGAAGTGTTTTCCACATAATTGTATTACTTTTGTATTGTACCTAAAATTGAAGCATTGGGTATCAATCACTTAAATGATGTTTAGTTCGTGTATTTCGTTCTGGTTTCATTTATGATGCTTTGTTGTTGATTAAGTGTCTATACTGATATTTGTCTTTGTTGTTTCTTTTTGTAAAAGTTGTGCCACATAAAAGGTATTTTTGATTATATTATTTGTTGTTATTGTTAGAGATCTTTATTTTTGTGCAGTGGTTTCTAGGTGACAAAGTGGTTTTATTTCTGTGTTAAAAAATTAGCCATGTTTACATTTTCATTGTTATAGTGATTATTGTATTACATTATGACAAACCTTTTTTAGGACATTCTATTATATGTTTTTGATTTTGAAATATATTAATATGTTGATTTTTATTGTGATGTTTCTAAAGTAGAACAGTGTTTTGTCTTCTTTACTGAGACCTTATTTGATCAGAAGATGGCCTAAATGCTGGAATGTCACTTTAAATATTATAAAGAAATAATCTTATATGTGAGAATTACATTCAGGCTAAAACGAAGTTAGCTGTTACAGATACAAGTCTGCAAGATGTGGATGTTCTAAAAATTTTAGCTGTTTCATTAAATAAAGATGAAAGGCGACATACTAAAAATACAACACTCATCATCAGAGCAAAGAATAAGACTGAGATGAGAAGTAAGATATACTTCGTCCAATCAAAGTAGGCATTTCTGGTCAGCAACAACCTATACCTTAAATAAAGAAAAGAAAAAGAAATATCAGCAAGTAAAGTGAAACTAACCAGCCAGATTACCAGTGTTCAGTGACCTCAACGATTCTGATGAAATATTTTGTTTTGATGAAAGAATATAATAATACATCATCAAAAACTCGTACAATCCTATGCAAAAAACTCTTATTCTAGCAAGCTTACCTAAGAAAAGCTAACACTTTGAATTCAACACAAAAACAACATTCCGTATGTCTCATTTCACTCGGAGAATATGGCAAAAGCAAACAAAATTAAACCGTGGAATTACATAATTATTAAGATATTCAAGATAAACATTTCAAACTTATAAACAATTTTATGGAGAAGAAACTCTTAACTTACTCATGTTAAGTAGATGCACAACTAATAATTACAATCAGCTAAAATATGTATTCAGTTTTAATCAATGATGTTTTTGAAAATATTAAAGACAAAACTGAGTTATTTGGTAATGATGTAAAATTATCTTAATGCATTCTGTTAAAAAAAAACAGTCTTAAATAAATTAAAACACATATTTTATCTACAATTTGAATTCTAAGTTTAGTATTTATTTTTCAAACACCTCTATATCAAAGGTTAACATTTTCCTTAACTGAAAATGTATTTGAGGTAGTTTACTCACCTCTTCACAACAAAGAGCTATAGCCTCATGCCACTGTTGTAAAGACTTTTTGCATGCCACAAGCCTTGAATGATGCTCCTACCCTGACACATATTAATGTGTATTGTGCCAGCCTATGGTGTAATCATCCTCAGACTGTAGCCTTCCACCAATAGGAGGATGACACACTCTCTCTATATGAAATAATTCCCATAAGCACTAGATTTGAATAAAGCCTTATTCTTTATGATGCAAAATGTGAAGGAAGGATGGGAAGTTATGCAGAAAAGTGAGTTACTATCTGAAATGGTAAAGAGCCTGATGCAGATAAAAAAATTTTGGAAACCATACTAATAAGGAACACCTCTTTAGGTTAGCATCTGAAAGGAAGACGTACCATTTATGCAAATCTGAGAAACAAAGAAATCATGTCAATTGGGACACAGCAGAAGATGAGAGAGAGAGAGGCTAAGATGGCAAATAGGTAAAAGTTAATGTTTCAAGTGAAGTTGTTGGGGTTACAATGGAGAGACTTCGCGAGAAGGTGAGGTGTAGATGAATAGCAAAAAAACACAAACAACAACATAGAGCAGATTAAGTAAGAGACAAAGTAGGAGAAGGATGATCCTCAAGCTGGAAGAAGATATTCACTTGACTGAATCTCAAAGAAATTAAAAGAATCTTGACCACAGGACATAGCAAGTGTCATGCAGATGAGGAGGATGAAGCTATTGGGAGTCAGTGGGAAACTAAGACAAACTGGTATCAGCATGAACATGATTGTCAGAAGAGGGGGAAAAACAACTGGAGAGAGAGAGAGAGAAAAAGAATACCATATACTTGAATAATCAAAGTATCAAAGGAAGAAGGTGAGGTTACCTGTTGCTCATCAGGACGAGAAAAACCAGAAGCAAAGGCAGGCAGAGAGAACTGTTGGTCAAAATAATTGAAAGATGAGGCAGGCTCAGCAGAAGCAACAAAAAATTGAGGATCCTGGATCCAAGATGAAAACAGTAGAAAAGAACCAGCTACTTGGGACTTGATGGCAGTAACATTGCTGACCATCAGAGTGCCTCCAGTTACCATTGAAATAGCAGGAGTATGCTCTTGAAGTGGAGTGTCAGGACCTTAGAAGGTAGCAGAAACACGTATCTGGAAATTCATTGTCAAAACAATTGACAAAATGTTTTGATGTGTTTTTTTTTTTATGTAAAAAAGTAGTAAGTTGAGTTGGTAGTAAAAATACTCTATAAAAAATATGAGTGGGACAATAAGGTTTAAATAAAAGCTAAAGAGTAAAACAAATGTAAAATTCCTACAGTTGAAAAAACAAAGAAACAAGTTTGAATTTGTGCCACGGTAAGAATGAGCCTGTGTTCAAATGCTAGTGTTCATGGGGATTACTGCACATGTACGATGTGTCACCCTCCTATTGGTAGGGAACTTTAGTCTAATGAGGATTATATTTTAGTTTGGCACAATAAATGATATGTATAATATGGGAGCTTTGTTAAAGGCTTGTGGCATGCACAAAGATCTTCATGGCAGTGGCATGAAGTAAGAGCTCTTTGTTGTGCAGAGAGGTGAGTAAATGTTTCTGAACCCAGGTTTTTACCCACACCTGCAACATAGGATCAGTGAAGTGTTACTGAAATATGAATATGCATTTTAAATATATATTGATTACAGCAACAACAAAAGGACATAGAGCAGTGTCTTTAAACAGATGTTTGTAAATTGTCATACTTACCATTAACAGTAACATTATGATGAAGCACACACCAATTATAGATGCAATGGGAAGCAGATACTTATTGAGGTTGAAGGTCTGGTCAGGGTACAGAATAAGGATGTAGCTGATGGTGACAGAATCCGAAAGCAAACAGAAAACTTGTAAGACCACATAAACACAGAAGACATATAACAACAAAATTTAAAGATGATACACTTATGAAAACAGATAAATTTCTATAATTTTTAATCTTTTATTTTTTGGAGTGAAAAGAGGGTGGTGGAAGAGAAAATGAAACTGACTGACTCACTTATTTTATGAAAAGCTATAATTTATTATGTCAACACATCCTAATTTTGCCAAGTTTTGTAACTGCTCAGATTTCATGTTTTCACAAATCTACTTCATCCTGATAAGAATGAGGTTTTATTATTGCGATAAACAACTGGGCTACAAAACTAAGCTATTGTGACTACTCCACTGAATAAAATGCATTGTGAGTCTTGTGGATAAGTTAGACAGATTGAAAGGAAGATGCTGCCATATTGTGCATCTTTAAAAGTAGACTTCCCTTATAACATTTCATTAAAAAAATACAAATTGTTTAGTTACCTGGAAGCAAGTAAAACACTGTAGGTCTTATGTATATTTGTCTGATTGAATTGAGAAAAAATGTCAAAAAAGAAGCTGGGGATAAAAGAAATTATATGAAAGATTAGACATAATACTGATTTTTTTTTCCAAGCAACACACAAAGGGTAGGAATTTCAGAATTTCATTATTGGTCTACAAGTATGGAAAAGTAATTGAGTTAGATAACATTCCTTGTGAGAAAAAATCAGTTAGACTTATGGACTTGTTTAATGTCAGGAAGATGGAATCAACTGTTGAGGACATGGGACAACAGTAGTATCATTTGTTTTTTTGAAAAACCATGTAACTATGTAACTTTGTTAGTCAAACCTAGAGAAGCCTAGTTCTACATATAAATTTCAATGGTTATTTAGACTGAGTTCCCTTATTTACCAATTATTTGTACCTATAATCCATTTGTTTCTACACATTTACTAGTGTTTTTTAAACCTATTTAAAATTAGTGGCACATTATAGGACATTATTTGCCATATGATTATATTCCTTTTCCAGAAAAAACTCTCATGTAACTTAAAATTGTTTTAAGGAAGTAAGATGATGTTGGTAATATTTACTATTGAGTTCCACTGTTCTTATATTTGTTTTGAAGACTATCCCAGCTGATACTCAAAAACAAAATCACTAGGATTATTTCACAAAGTGTTTTAGTAAAATTGTATTGAGAAATGGAAAAGTAGTTAATTAATAGTTTTTTCGATAATAATATATTAATCTCACTTAAAGTTGTTAGCCAAACTACAAAGAAACAAATTACTTTCCACAAAAACTGAGATACAAACTAGAAGAAACATTAAAATAAAAAGCATGTTTCATCAATTTTAGATGGATGTAGAGAAAACTGACTGATAGATCACTCATTTGAAATACTCTGAATCATTACAATTTGAAATTATTTGAGCTTATGTCAAATAATAATAATAAACTTTGTTTCATAGATCAACAAAACTGCTTTAATAGTACTACTAGTCACCAGTATATTACTAAAAATATACATGTAACATAGAGACCACTGAACATCTGGCAAAATCTGGACAAACATATCACTACAAGTACGTTCTAACTAACAATCCAAAACATTGAATTCAAATAAATTATTCTCATTGCATATCAACATATTTAAAAATATCAAGAACCACTTACATTATAATTTTCCACAACAGTATAATAACAATTATTCATTAAAAAGAAAACAAAAGTTAAAAAAGCCAACTTGTGGTAAACAAAATCAAAACAAATCAAGAACATGATAAATAAATGTAAATATTACAAGCATACTCTTTATTATACAAAACACTGAAGGAAATTGTTTTTTTATTGTATATTTTAGAAAATTGGCTGTGAACAATTTATATATGAATTTCCATCAAAGTGTAACAACAATTATTCACTAAAGATTTCAAAAAAGTTAAAAAATTAAACCAATGTGTAGTGAACCAAAATGAAATAAAAACAACAATCCAGAACAAGAAGAATAAATGTAAAAATTTCAGGCCTACCCTTTATTGTACAAGTAAAGATTCTTGATGTCGTCACCATCATGTTCACCAATGAGAATGGCTGGAATAGTAATTTGAGACTCTAGAATGAATAAAATGATTTACTTCATCAGTGAAAATGGTGTACTAAATTATATATATACACAGTGATGTCTCTCAAGATGATTTTTTCTAACAGGTTTGAACTTGTTGAGAAAATCTTGAAAAGTTTTTTCAGATTTGAGCTTGTAGAGGCATAAAACTATATACAGATGTTTGATTACATACAAAGCCATGTGCTCTTAGCCCTTAACATTTATTTTTGGAGTAAAGTTTTCTTTCCTACCAAAATACATGTTTCCTTTGTAATTAGAAGACCTTGTGATTATTTAACACAAGTTCATATTTTGTATAAGTTATCTAACATTGTAGCTTTGTCATTATTATTAATAATAATAATAAAAGGAGCAGAAACTTCTACTTAAAAGGATATTTAGAATTTTGTAGTTACACAATAGGCGACCTGATATGTGCTCACTGCAGGTATCAAACCCCTACTTTTAGTATTATAACCATTTGTGTGGCAAAAATAGAAATATTTGAAGTAGCAACCTTCTTTTTTTAATTATGATGAACATTAATTCTTCAGAGACAACATATTTCATAGAAGAAAAATCTCAAAGTAGTTTTTGTTAATAGCAATTTTTATGTTATAGTGCATGTACACATACACACACATTGCATGCGTATTAAAACACAAACAGCAAACACTCTGATTGTCTACCACGATAATTATGCAAAGGGAAATTAGTCAAATTGAATGTTTTTATGTCGAACAATATTTCATAAATGAAACACAATGATACTCTCATTAGTTCATTACTGATATCGAAGTCATTTTTTTTACCTGAATTTTACATGGTAGAATTACTTTCAATAATATTTTGACTTTATGTGTTCTACAAAATCCTTTAGTAAAATATGAAAACTTTTAAAGTTTATAAAGCACAGCAAGGAAAAAAAACTTGACTAAAAATGAATATGCTACTTTTAAGTGTAGCATTGAGGTTTAATGACATCAAAGTTTGAAAGGTTGTTTAATTTAGTTATAATACACATCTCAGTTCACAAAAAGTATTTTCAATGATGATTTAACAAGTAGAACAGGTCAGGAAATAAAATGGGAAGTAATTCCATAACATTAATCCCCACCAGTGATTTAATATCTATTCATACAAATATTGGAAACAACCCAAAATAGTCCCTCACAACCAGATCAATCAATCTTGGAAGTTCCCCCCCCCAATTCTGACTGCAGACGACTATTATTCTTATTATTATTGTTCTCTAATACTTGCTGGCTGCACCAACTTTCCTAGTTCGAGTTTCTCATCTCCAAGCCTTTTAACAATAGCCAAACGAGTTTCTGCCTGCCTCTTGTTCTTCCTTCAATTTTACCTATCAGGATCTCTACCAACCTTTCTTAAGATATAATTATATGCCCAAAGTAGCGCACCTTACAGTTCCTATTTATGTCCAGCAGATGTATTTTTGTCTTTTCATGTTCCAATACTTTCTTTATTAGTTTTTCTATCCATGTAGCTAAGCTTCAATGTAAGCCTATAACACCACATTTCAAATGTTTTTGTTGCCTTGTTTCAGTGAACAGGGTCCACATTTCCACCCTGCAGAGTAGGACTGACTATACCCAATAGCCAGAAACTACAAACAAACCTGATTTATCTAACATTAATATATATGTAACCAGGGGTGAAAATCTGCCAGTACTCACCAGTACTGAGTAATGGAACTTATTTTTAAGGCGGTACTAGTACCGGGACTTATTTGAACCATTTTTTTTTGTTTTTTTATGTTTACATGCAGATTTTATTTTTATTTTTGAAAAACAGGTCCACTTCATCCAGTTGAGTACCTCTACTTTTTTTTTGTTGAGAATTTCACCCCTGTATATAACTAACCTTACTTCTATAAACCTCTTCACAAAAGTGCAACTCTATGAATGTGTGTGTAACCACAAGCACTTATTACTTAATTGTCAATCAGACACTCAACATTCATTTAGCAAATATAATTTAACATACACCAGTAAGCTTATAAACAATTCAAGAGAACCTAAAGTTGAATAAGAGAGCTGAAGAGTAGACACTAGAGAAATATCTTGATTAGAACCATCCACTGTCACCCGTCTCTCTGAATTGACTTGTTGTAGACTGTTGATTCCTTTATTATATATCACGGCAGCATCATATCCTGCTTTCTGTGCCATGAGAACCTGAAAAAAAAAAGGTTTTTGTTTTAAATGCAAAGCTTTTGGTTTTATTCAAGTCTGGATGTTTAAACACATTAAATATATTTGCCTTTTACATACAGCATTTTTTCATCCTTCAGAAATTTTGTACATATATATATATATGCAAACTTACATTTGAGGAGTGATGTTTAATTTAATAAGGGAGCTAAAGATGGCTAAAAGATGGTTTAATAGATAAAACCATCACCCAACATTTCACCAAGTCAATGCTGTGTGCTGTGATTTAGTTATAATTATCTTAACTATTTTGAACTATTTAGATCTATGGACTACATACATATTGCTTATGTTCAGATTAATGAAGTAATTACATAATGTTTATGTTTAGCTACATGGAGTAACAATACAATGCTTGTGTTAAAATATAGATGTGTTATTTACAAGCGTACTAGTTTCTTTGAAGTAACCAGATAAGTCTGCAGAATAACATGAGGTCAGCCAGAAAATTTACTATGAAGCAAATTTGAATTATCTGACCTTGACTGAATTCAAAGAAAGGAAAAAAACTGGACACTTTGTTCAACGCAGAGAAACAATTTATATTTAACACATAAAATCAAACAAAGGAAAACAAGTGTATTATTGTGTTGCCTTTACTGGAGAGTTCTAATGAACTTAACAGTCAAGACCTAGTTCCAGACTGAGAAAACATAACATTATACAAATAAAATGGTTCTCTTCTCAGGGTAAAGACACTATTGGTCACTCTCACTACAAAAGAAGGGAAGTTGTATCTTTGAGGTATTACCATACAAGCTCATGAATAAGATCACTGTTTATTTCAAAATAGTATGTTCCATTTAATAAGAATCTTCCAACAAAAAAGTACATGTGTTATCCTAGCTGAATGACCCAGTTCGACATGTAGCTAAAGTAAGAATAACTTAGTAGCATATTTGACTTGACTGGCATTCTGCATTAAAACTACATATTCTGTATCTATGGAAATTTTTCAAAAACCTTTTTAGTACTAAAGGGATAGGACACATGCAATACTCCTGTAGGCTACACTCATCTTATCCCTTCATGCCATCCTTAACTTGAAAACCAATTACAATAACTCATATATTGGTCAAGAAATCAGTGTAACTTAGTCTCATTATTGTACAACACTTACACTGTAACACATACAAGTGAAACATGAAATACAACTTTAAAGAACAAGAGATTATAAACTAAAAGAAAGAAATGCAAAAGTAAAGCCTTTTTACATTATCAAAAATACTAAATAAAACCCTTTACAAAAACAAAACATATTAAAAAAGCAAGTCAAACATAAAGTATATTAAAACCAGAAACAAAAGAAGTCCATCAAATAAGCAACAACAAATAAAAGACATGGTACAAGTATATGCATACGCATCTTTAAAAATGACTAAATACAACAAACCGTCTAGATGACAAAAAAACAAAAAAAAACATAAAACAAACCTTCACAAAATATGTACAAAATGCACTATGATATTTAAAACATACAAACAAAAACCATTTACCTATTTTGAACAACGAAAACAGATAACGATGACACTTGATCAGGTTACATTATCCATTATCTACAAAAAACTAAAAAGCCTTTCAAGTCTGAGCCAACTCAGCATAGAGACTTTCCATCTCTTCCTCTAAGAAGGATCCCAATGCTTTAAAAGATAATATTTTTGGTTGTATAGCACCTCTGCCTCTGTACACCTTGCTGCTAGTTTTTGGCAGTGGAGTTTTATGGCCAGCATCTGTTGAAGGGTGGAATTCTCTTTTATTTCAGGGAAAGGTTTGGTGGCCTCTGCCAGTTCCCTCATGTCAGATCCTTCATCCATCAATACATTTTCATTTATATCTTCTGCCAAGGTGGTTCTAGAGTCTTTTAAACTTCAGGGTAGTTCTCCAAGGTCATCATAAAAGGACACACTCACTGAATGTTGCTAGTTGAAAACATGATAGCCAGGAAGATTAAGAAGTTGATCTTAAATAGAAAAATTCAGAATGGAAATGTAAGATAAATTAAATTCTGATTGGTTAAAAGTTTAGTTAGAAGTATGGGTTAAGTTGTAATGGCTTGGAGAACAAACATTCTCTGCCCTAAAGATGCCTTTTAGACACAGTGTATGCAAACTGTTGGTGTGGTCTAGTGACATTTCTATAGGCTTATGCACACTCACATGCACACTGCCTGTAGACAATATATATCCCTTTCATCTGTTGAAATCTTGGTCCACCAAGCTTCAACAGGTCTTGAACTTGATGTACATTCAGCTGTGCTCTATACTGTTATAACTGCAGTACAAACAAACAGTTAACACATCTACCCTGGAATCAGCTACATTCCTTTAACTACTATCTGATTGGTATAGAAACATAGAAATGGGAGCAAGACTGTAGACACTGGTTCCTCCTACATAAATACAAGTAGCCAAAACAGGCCAGATTCGGCACACATGCTATTCTTTAATTTCTGACAATGGGAATTCATCAACACTAACATCTCAAATCCTATTACACCCCTTTTGGATACATGTTTAGTAAAGGCTAAAGGTGAATACAAAGTAGCACCACACACGTGTCACTTATTTCTTGCAAATGTGCAGTTTGTACTTGCATGCATTTTAGCTGCACCTTGTACTGAAACAATGTTAACAAAATATTCAGTAAAACTGTGCTTATTAAAATACTAGAATCTGCAAGGCTGAAAATATTCTATCATAATCAAATAAACTACTTGGTGCAACAAGTTTATATTTGGAATGATAAATGAGTAAATAGAAGTAAATCTTGTGAAAAAAACAGATTCACAATAACACAACTTACGCTCTGTGTTAAGAAAGAACACCACTCCCTCATTGCACACGAAGGAGCACTGCTGTAGAATGTGTTTTTGTGAGTGATCAGGTAATTTTCACATTGCCAATTCTAGAGGGACCTAGGGGGGAGCATGCACCCCAAAGTTTTTGAAAATTTAATGCTTTGAGATTAAATCTTGAACCATTTTAACTACAAATACTGCATACACACAATGTAATGTATTGAATTAAAAGAAGCAAGTTTTAATACATAAGTTGTAGTTATACATGCCATAAAAACGTTGTCAGGCCATGGTCTAACTGGCCTTATGGCTTCCCACAGCCCTGAGGAGTCATACATACACTACTGGGGAGAGTATAATAAATATCATATGGTCTACTCCTAGAACTTCCATTACTTAGCCAAATAGGGTGAGTAATTCTCAAAAAAAGTTGGATGACCATTTAGCCATAAAAAATTGCTTGATAATTCATAAGGTAGGAATCACAATGCCCCTTTCATACTCCTAGCAATTATTCTCAGTTGTGCAAAATCTTGATGTTCTAGACATTATATCTATTGACGCAATTCATCTTAAGTAGGAGGTAATCTAGAAGCTATTATTGGATATCATGTAGATAGCTATCACTGAAACTGTGTTTGATGGTTTGGAATCTAATGCCCATAACACCCTTTTGGTAACATTACTCGTGTGATTAACTCTTTCAGCATGGGCTTTGTCCCTGGGACCGACCTCGTAACCATTTTGTGCTTGTTATAGTTTTCATGCTATAGCTTGTAAATTATTAAACATATGTTAACGAAATTTGGCAGATTATCAGCAAACATTACAATGCTTTCATACACAAAATATCCAATTTTTGTTATTAGGTCTTAAAGTTTGGTAAGCAATGTATTTCTCATGCCTTTTTTTTTTTCTTTTCGCATGTTGCCTATCCAACATGCAGAGTAATTTTCATTTTAAAATTAAAAATACTTT